TTCTATAAGCATACAAAGGTTAAAAACATAAAAATTTTCAAAAGGTCCACAATTTTGGCCACCACTGTACAATGCATTAACAATCATACCAACCATGTAATATTGGTTTTTTGTAAATAGTTTTTTTTTTTTTTTTTTTTTTTTTGCTCTTTACCTTTCGTTTAATAAATAATCTTTACAAATAAGTCAAATTTGTTTTGCTTCTAACTCTTCCTTTGCCTGATTTTGCATTATCCTTAATTTATGGACATAAGTGTAGATAAAGATTGTCACGTTGTTGACAGCTCAGTCAAATAAAATTTTCAGAAAGGCAAATAACTTTTTAATGGTCATTGAAACAATAACAGCTGCTAAAAATAGCTTTTTTATATAATATGCATTAGTGAAGCAATTGTACTTATTGTTGGATTTTGTCGTGTTATATAACTGTTTCAGTTAGGTTTGATATCCATGAAAACTTTTACAAAAGGAATATCGTTAATGATTAAAAATTAATTTTAATCCTATAAAAGCCCTTCATCCGGAATTATATACGTTAATAATATTAACACATACACTTACTTAATTAAAGGGTGTTAAAATTAGTTTTTTATCCATACGTTTTACAGAAAGCTGGCTTTTAATTAATGAGCAATGGTACACTTTGCATACTGAATGAATTTTTAAGCATACTTAAAAATAACTACAATACTTCAAAATAACTACAATACTTCAAAATAACTACAATACTTCAAAATAACTACAATACTTCAAAATAACTACAATACTTCAAAATAACTACAATACTTCAAAATAACTACAATACTTCAAAATAACTACAAACTCAAAATAACTACAAGACTTCAAAATAACTACAATACTTCAAAATAACTACAATACTTCAAAATAACTACAATACTTCAAAATAACTACAATACTTCAAAATAACTACAATACTTCAAAATAACTACAATACTTCAAAATAACTACAATCCTTACGTTAGATTTGGCAAAGTCACAGCCTTCAGTATGGTATATATTTTAACCAAGACTCTATCAAATTCGAGGGTAATAGGTGCAGGTCCCTCCTTATCATCAGAAACAGAATTCTACAAATTTGATGTCTTACTTGGGCGTGTTTCTCTTCTATCTTAAACTATAATAGAACTTATTTTAGAGAAACAACTGCACGCCTATGAATAGTTTTCTAACTTCAACATGACTTCCTAATTTTAAATAGAATAATATTTAAAGATACTTGAAATATTAGCCGTGAAATATTAGAATACTACACTAAAATTAGAAAATTATAAAAGGTTTGTGTTATGAAGAGGAATTTACATTTCAGGGGGAGGAAGAACTGAAAGTTTTCTTATAAGTAAATCGGTTTCTAAATATTATTACAGCGCTAAGATTACAAATATAGGATTTAATTCTTCAAGCAAACTCCATACCTTAAAGATTGAGGGTAATATAAATGAGTAGATCATTTCCTCAGTTTTCTACTAAAATAACGAAAATAAAATACAAAATCTAAATCAACATCATCTACAACGAAACATCATTAGGACTATCTTTGACGGTTGTAAGCTATTTTTACGTCATTGTACAAAGTATTGTAATCGCGAAAACTTTTGGTTATCAGATTATAACAGAAATATCAATTTTGACCGCTCCTGAATCCATTTGGATGATTTTGTTTGCGTGACATCTCTATGTATGGACAGAATAAAGGAACTCTTATTCCAAAACAGTTTGTAAAATGGACTCAAAATGTATTGAAACTGGATTTTTTTCGTGACGTCTCTATGTACGTACCTACGTATGTATCTAAGGTATCTCAAAAACAATTAGCCGTAGAACATTATAATTTTGTAGAAGTAACTGTTACAACATCTAGCTGTGCACTCCCTTTTCTATTCAATCTTCAATGCCAAATATATATATATATATATGTGTAATAATAAAATTGCATAATCAAATATACACTTAAAATTCTAACTGTATGTTCTTTTCATTTTTAATGGCGACGGTCTCTTATTTGAAAGTACGTGGAATTAAATCCTCAGCCCCATAGTCAAGTTGTTTTTCCCGCCTTTTCTACACGTTCAGGTATAGAATGTTCTGGAGATATTTAAAGCGAACTGGAATGGCTGACGAGCTGACGTCATTTCTTGGAAGCTCCGCCTTTCCAAAGGCTATAAAAGGACTCGCAAAGGAATATCGGGGTCTTTTCTTTAATGTAACGATGCAGTAAACTTCATACAAAAAGTTATTAGTAGTTCTTTTTTTATTTACTCCGGAGATCTGATTTTTGTAACTGCTATTTCTCCTGAATAATAATAAATGGATCCTGTTTTTTTAAACTTATCGTCTGATACTTTGAGCTTCGACTACGTCTATGATTCTTCACCAATCTATTTATTCCGGATAAAAGCTGGTACATCACATATATATGTATAAGATAAAAAATATGTAAATCAAAATTATAATTTAAACAAACGGTAACCCTTTAATTCTCCCTCTCTGTTTTAAAAATTCTAATAACTTTGGATTGCGTCATTTCTAGAAATTTCCATTTTGCATGGTCTGCGCAGCGCTGATGAAGTAATAATTTGGAACTGAAACTTTTAACTCAAACCAAAACTTTTCTCTTCGTGTCCTTCCATATTGGATAATTACGCCCTTTAGCTTCTGTCTGTGTAGTGCTTGTACACAATTTCGCTGGGCTCGCTTACTATCGCAAAAAGTATCAAAACTGTAAATGTTTTGTGAATAGGCACGACTAGAGCGCCAAGTGATTGTGGTCACAACTGGAAAATTAAATGGAAAACTGGAAAATAAAACTCAACTGGAAAATAAAATATGGAATTAAAACCGCCTCGAATGCCAAGTTTCATTACGAACTCAACATATTAGCATAGTACGCAATCAGATTTCTCCCTCTTTAATATGGATCTACGATCTGTCCTATATACTATTACGCATGAAACATTTTCCTTGCTATTATTACATATATACCCACTCTTTAAAAGTCTTCACGCGGCTTTTATTTTCGAAATCGTTGGTTGTAATCATATACTTCCGATTACAGAAATATTTTAAATGACGAAAATATTCATATTGTTTGGAGATTTCAAATTTAAAAAAAATAATTTTGTACAAATAGCGAAATCTAGCTTTCAGTACGGATCTCCGATGCTATAAATATTTATACTTGGGCAAGTTTTAAATTTCGTTACGAAACATAAAAATGCAAAACGTTTGACTTCTGTACAACAAAAACTGACGGGGATATTTAATTCCACAATTTTCAATTTTTTATGTGATTTTCAATATGCCCTGAGGGATCGATTAATTAAGCTAAAAGTAGAATAACTGGAGGAAATAATTATAAATGAAGTGCAGCAAAAAATGTGTATCATTTTATAGGCCTTACAAGGAAGAAGTCATTTGGTGTCCACATCAGATTTTTTTGTCTTCTGTAAAAACAGTCAGTCACGTTATACAGATTGTATTAAAAGTAATGATCTGAAACTCATATTGCCAACGGGCCTCCAAATATACTTCTAGGGCCAAAAATTTTCAACAAGATTTAAAAATTTTTGGTAATAAAATAAGAAAAATTTAAATAAATTTTAAATTTTGCTTATTAAATATTTTCAAAACATACATAAACAATAATAATATTATTCTAAAATGCTCAAACTTCTGTATATATATATTTTTCCCTCTGAAATCCAAAGTTTGGTACCTACAAGGCATTTTTTTAGTTACACTTTGTAATACAAATATATCGACAAATAAGTATTAAATTTTCATTAATGGCGTTTAATTAAAATAGTTCTAACATATTTAATTAATCATCAAATAACTTACTTTTATTCAAACTGAAAGAAATTATGAAAACTAAATTTTCTGAGAAAATTCCCAAATGGGACAAAACATGAGACTTAATCGTGAAAACTTAGTTTCTTTCTGTTATTTAAATAATTCTTCTTCGAAAGATAAATAAAATTATATATGTTTGTATATAAGTAATTATAAAGATGCTTATCGGTCAATCATTTTTTTATTAATTTTTAACTGTGAAAAAGGGCAGTTCGTCTGTGAATGTTTCATTAACAAAGCGTTTGTTCTTAGTATAAAAATTCGTAACTGATTTCTTTTTTGACAAGCACGAATAAAATTTAATGAAATCTGTATCTTAAAAATATTTGTATAAGATTTATATCACTCTGTAAATTAGTTAGCTGCGATTTTCTGATGCCTGATTCGCGTTAATTTTTAATAGTAATGAAAATAATATAAAATCGGACTTCAAATAATTAAAATTTTGAAATCTTCCTAACACTGTATTTGCAAAAAATTCATAATTGAAATGTCTCTCTGGGTCGCATAAAATTGCTTCGGGGGACATATGCTGAAGCTGGTAACCAGTTTGAGATCCCTGTTTTAAAGAATAATAACTACATCTAGAAGCGGCCGTTTACTTATGTTAATACCTCTGAGATGTTTGCAGTAAATAAACGTTATAAACGACCCTTCCCATTACGAAGTATTATTTTTCTACTCTTCTTGCAGACTGTAGTGTGTGAGATTTTTCAGTTAGAAAATATGAGTTGACGTTTTTGAAGAATTAATTTAGATTTGACAGATTTAAATTTTTGAATCCGGTTAAAGCAAACCATCAATTTGTCATCAAAATAATTATCACTAAAATAATGATGAAGATATTTTTCACTATTTGTTGTAAAACACATCAGCATGTACATAATCTTTGTGTAATCCAATTACATGATGGAGCCCAGAAATTTTTATATTTATAAATTTAATTACGCAAAAAATTTCACACCACTTCGCAATCCTAGTAATTTTATCAAAAAAGTGCTATTTTCAATCTAATGCATTAACTTACATTAGTTTAACATTAATGCAATTACTGCATTAAGACACGTGCATAACCATTAGCTTAAGTACAGATTAATACCTGTAACTTATTGTTACAAAAAACTAAATTATTATTCAAGCATAAATTCTGAGAAAGAAGCTTGCATGACAGTTTTGCTGTTTATGGTATTAATACATGCATTATGCGACCTATGAAATATAATGAAAACATTCTTACCTTGGAATTCTTTTCTTGCTGCACTGACGTTAGTTACTATATTAGCTACGTGTCCTAAAACCGCCGAAAAAAGGAATAAGCCACTGACAAGCTCCAGCACTAGGAACAGGTATTCTCCTCTAGTTCGGGGACGAGGTAAGTCCCCAATAGTGGTCAGCGCGAGAGTACTCCAATAGAAACCGTGTAAATATTCGCACAAAACATCGCTGCAACGAGCATCTCTTGGGCTAAACCAGTCACGAGATCCGAAACCTCCATTTTTGGAAACGATGTGAAATAAGCAAGCATTCCAATGAAATATCACCAGTACATAATGCGTAAGAGACAGTGCTCGAAACACATTGGGATAATTTGTGTGTCTCTCTGTTCTGTCTAAAAACGCCCAGAATCTGTAGATCTTAACAAGTCTGAAGCAGCGAAGAATCGAGTTGAAACCTATAGATAGATATAGGCAATCCAATGGCAAAAGACACAAGCAATCAATATAGAACATTGTAGAATTTATGTAATGTTGCCTCAACTTGAGGGAATCAGTTTGTAAAACCCCTTCTTCTAAGTAGCCTGTCCTAAAATGAACAGCAATGTCTAATATGTAAATAAGATCAGCTAGATAATCTAATGTAAACCATGCGTGCAATGTATCCACAGTGATCTCTTGAAAGGCAAATCTGTAGATGATGACCCAGAAGTTGTACAGAAAGGCAACGCTGACCACAACAGACCAGTAATAACAGAGACGACCTGATGGATCAAAGACGAAAGTCCACTTGCACATGGCACGGTCACTGCCAGAAGTACTAGTTTCCCATTTTTCCAAATCTTTCTTAATTTCACGCCGTCTCAGTTCTCTGGTCTTCCTGGGGATCTCAAGGTCTGATCCCACATGGGCTTTGTTTACAAAGGCGTAAGGCTCCGATGATGTTACTCTGCGGGTCACGGTGTCAATTAAGGATGACCTGGAATCGAAAGCCTGTTTGTCACTAGTTCCTGAAGGAGTGGCCGGAGTCCCTCCACTATACGGTAGAGTCGTCGGACCAGCCACGCTACGGCGTTCGCTGCTGACCATACAGGACATCTCGCCACCACTGGACGTGATGATGCCAGGTACGACGCGCGGCCCATTCGCGGTAACACACCCAGCTGTTCCATATTTCACATTCTCTGGAGCAGCACTGTTGACAACCGTGACGTCATCAAGATCATCATCATGCTGCGAACTTTTCGAGCACTTGGAATACTTCACTAATTTGGTGTCGCGAAAGCCCGTTATCTTCCGCATTCCGCCTTGCATTCCACTAATATCTATAGGCACTGAGGATATAGATTATTGCATCACCTTCCCTCCATCCGTAATTTTGGTTGTCCTGTCCATTGCTAAAACATCGTTTCTACACTACATCCATCATATTTATCTTGCCTTTAAACAAGTACAAACAATTTATTTGAAAATATACATTGCATGTGCATGTATAACTGGGAGAAAATGAAAATCGCAAACTCAAATGTAATTTTTTATGCCAACAAATGTTTCAATTTACTTTTGCAAGCAAATTCGAAATTAACAGATATTTATATTAATGATTTTTTGTAGAAGTTTTTGTTTTTCGTGTTTTGTAGAAGATTAGAATACTATTTCTTCAAATTCTTCAAAAATAAATGCATTCTGCTGTGTAAATATCATCAAAGGCTTTCTCTTTTTTTACAAAACTATAAATTATGTAATTTAATGTGTTTTTAAATCCGATATTTTAAAAATATTCAGCTATCGAATTTTACGATTCAGAGTTAGATATCAATTGCTAATTCTAAAATATTTGTTTTTCTAAGAATAGTATTTATTACTATAATAATATTTAAAATTTCATACTGAATATTTTGCTAAGCATTCGAAATATATGCATTTCGTAAGCAAAACATCAGAAATAGAAATAACAAATCTTACCTGAACTTTAGAACATTCTTCAGAAATATTTTGCAAGTGATGTTAAAACTCTTTAATTGATATTCATAACTCACTTAATATTTGATGATAGCAAATTTTAAATCCTAACATTTCAATATTTTATCTCGCGTATTTCGCATACGATCAATCTGGAAAATTTAATCGTTCCACTTAAGCAGGCAAGTAAGGAATGATAGCTATTAAATTTCAAATTGTCAATTGTTTACATAAATCTCAAAGCCTTTTGAGCCTATAAACTTTTATTTGGTTAGTTGTAAATGAGTTTAAATTAAAACGAAAGACTTTCTTAATATATCCGGCATTCCTTCAGATAATGAAATATTTACCCGTAAAACATTTGCTTGAAATTGCTAAAATTATCACATAATATTATCTTAAATTCTATTCTATATATATTTTTATATCACACCATTTCCGGAAAAAATATCTTAGCACTGTTTATCCTATTACCTAAGAATACCTTTGAGCTCTCAATATCTGTACGTCCAATAAGTTATCAGTTTTATATCAGGCTACGCAGACGGTAACGCAATAAATAAATCAAAACTTTCCATATGGAATCAAATGCAATAAAATCCCTCTTTTCTTCTTCCCTAAAACGGTGTTAACTTATAAATACAAAGCAATGCTCCTGTCTTTCGGTGCTGCGAACTTTTCAAATTGTCTGCACTGAAATCACATGGTTTTAATTAACAAATATTTCACCCGAACGAAAGTAGGGAAAAAACTACAGCTTGCGCTGATATCTCTTGCAGAAGAAAAGGAACTATAACTTTTCTTCACCAGGCATTTGACCTGCAGTTGTCAAAGTGAAAGTGTCACCTGTAACATCTTGGTATGACATGCAGAACTCCAGTTCTGTGTTGCTCTCTTTGCGGCGCATCTTTATCTGTCGGTCATCGGAAAAGAACAGTCTTTTCGAATAGCTTTCGATGGCGCGCATGCGTCGCATGTTAGGGGGCGGTGGACTCGTGAGATAAGTCCATTAATCGCATAGGGTGGAGAGTGGTGTTTATGACTGTCCTGTTCTTTTTGTTAAGGGGAGTTATTGAGTTAGGAAAAGAATAACAACTAGAACGGGAGAACGTAAGGAAAAGCAGAAAATTCTATTTGCTTCGGCTCATTGAGAGTATTCTCAGTTGAATTTTAGCGGGCAGATTCTCATTGATGATAAAATTTGGAATTGTTTTAGTTTAATTCAGTAGCTTTTCCTTCATTATTGTCAATAATCATTGATTCATTAACAATTACTGAAGAAAATGCTTCTGCTCCATTACATAAATAATTTTCGAAAGATGTTTCAAAATATTTTTTCATCGATAAATGGTAAAAAATATCAATTCTGTTCAAACACACCTTTTTAACTCAAATCATAAACTAATGCTTTAACATATGTCATTATATTTTGTTCGTTGTAATCCGGAATTATACAACAAAATGTAACAGAAAGTATAAAATTCCGATGTCGGTCTCACATGACTTCCTTGTAAGTCTCTTAAATTTTACACATTTTTTGCTGAACTGCATTTAAACTTATTTCCTAGAATTATTATAACATAATTTAACAGACATCTTAAGAAAAGTTGAAAATGACAAAAAACTGTAAAATTTGAAATTAAACATCCCGGTCAATTTTTGTGATACCTGAGTAAAACTTCTTGTATTTTTATTTTTTAAGAACAAGTATAGGAAACGGGAGACCGCATTTAATATTATATTTCCTTATTTACCTGAAATTATTTTTTTTATTTCGAAATTTCTAAAACTTGAATATATGCGCTATTTAAAATACTTCTGTTATTGGAAGTATATGGCTACATACAATGATTGCGAAATTAAAGGCCTGTCAAGGACTTTTAAGTCAGGTAAGGAGGATGGGTGCATATAGAGACATATCTATGCATACGTGAAACTAAAGATTAATTTTCATAAGGTCAGAAGAAAAAATAAAAGATTAAAGTTTAAAAAATATAAATGAATTATAAGTAATTAATTATTAAGAAATATAAAATAATAATAAAACAATTTATATTACGCCCAAACGAGCGTTTTTTAACGTTTTGTGTGTTACCTTTATTTATTAAAAATCATGTTCTTCGCACTTAAACCATAAAATTCAGTTCAATAGTAATATTGCAAAATAATTTTTAAATGAGCATATCTTTAGAATTTCTGATACACAATCTCGGCGCGCTGGAGATAATTCTTTTTCCGCACAGTGTTGCCATTCCTAGCTTTGAAATTGTTGAATTTCTAAATCAAATATTCTTTAATGTCTAACAAAATAGGATATAGATAATAAAACAAATTCCAAATTCCAAATTAGGGCTTCCAAATGCCCATATTCGCTGGGGTATAATGTTATTCAAATTTTAATGGCTCTAGGTACCGTTGTTTTATCACAATGCGAGAAACATACATACGTATATAGAGATTCTTTGATTATTTAATTTCTTTAAATATAATACAGGGCTGTGATAGTTGGTGGCAACAGTTTGAAAAGTGAATAGACGCAAAATGCCAAAACGAAATTAATAGCCCTTCTGGCCTAACGCCGTTTGCGCTAATTACACTATACTGGAAATTGTTTTTAAAAATTTAATATAAAGAAAAATGAGAAACTATTAAATTTTGAAATGACGTATAATATATGTACATATATATCTTCTTTGTTAGTAGCAGGTGGCTTTTGTTTAAACTTTTAATGTGAGATCTATGATTATTATTTTTGAGATTAAGATTTTTTTTAGTCTGTCTAATAGAAACTAAACTTCATTTATTACGGGTAATTTGGTGAATATAGTTTTAAGTCTTTCAAAGGAAATATATACACCCATCTCCCTTAACCGCCTAAAAATCCTTACTCGACAATATTATCATAATCATTGCCCTTAAACATATACTTCTAATTAAGGAAGTATTTTAAATAAAGAAAACAATCATGTTTCGGCAATTTCAGAATTCAAAAGAATTAATTTTGGTCAAATAAAGAAACCTAACATTTAATGCAATATCCCGGTTCCTATACTTGTATTTGGAAACGTTTTATACTCGTTATGAAAGAAGAAAATGCTAGAGGTTTGACTTTCGTACAACAAAAGTTGACCAGGATATTTAATTTCTAAATTTGCTGTTTTTGATGTCATTTTAGACTTGCCTTGAGGGATCGGTTAATTAAATCAAAATAATTCGAGGAAATAAATTTAAATGAAGGAAGCAAAAAATGCGTGTAGGCGTACAAGGAAATTATGTAGTGCCCTTATTAGATTTTTTAACTAAAAGTTTAAGAAATTATTTATTTTTTTACTTATTTTTGACAAAACTTAAAATACCATTTTATTTATTATTTCAATCCTTACTACTTATGACACTCAAATAAGTAAAATACTTTACGCAGTTCTGATATGCTTTGAAGAAATTGCTTCCATGGAGTTTGACATATATGAACACATATAGCCAATAAAAAAAAACTGTTATAGCTCCAAATAGCATGTCACGGAAAAAATGGACAAATTATACCACTAAAGCAATTTGTTTTGTGACAAGAAATTAAAAACTGTTTAACAAAATGTATTTTGGACATACAGCTAGTATAAAATCTTCATTTAAAGAACTGAAATAACTTTTGTATGAGACCTTTGCACGAATTCTGTAAAGCTTAAAAAAAGATACCAAATCAGTAAAAACAAAAGTAAATTTTTCTTCTTATAGGCTAATGATCCGCATAAGTTAAAAGTCGAAAATACTAAATTTGTTTTAGTAATTGAATATCTAACAATGTCCGCTCAACCTCAGAATTAATTCTGCTGTTTCAAAAGACACTTTTCCCGATTTTTACTACTGCCAAAAGATTCCCCCCCCCAAAAAAAGTATATTCTAGCAGTTTATTTCTGATTCTTTACTAGAGCTTTGTTTTTCAACTAATTAATAACGATTGATTGTCAATTATTTCTGATCGTCATCAATTAGTTGAAAAACAAAATATTTTTACTTATGTTAATAATTAGTATTGGCTATCAGGGCATATTATCCTATTTTTTAATTAAAATAAATACAGAAGATAATTACATATTCTTCAGTAAAAAATTAAAAAATCAAATGTTTTGGAATAAAAATTTCTGGCAACAGGTTATTATTTGAAATAAGATACATCGTCTGTTGCTTTTAAATGTAAGCTTCTTTCAAAGCGTAGCATGCAAACAAGCTGTGGATTAAAGGATATGTTTTTGGCCTTTCCAAATGAAATATTCCTATTTCGTAATTCAAAAACGTTCTGAAATGCATGGTATTAAAATTTCTAAGTACAAAATAAGCAACATTATTCATTGGAAAGTGT